AGGGCAGCGGTTATTCTAAAATAATTGAGACTTTGATCTCATCTCTTAAGAAGAGCAATATGGCCTTCATTAGCTTAACACCTAGTAAACTGTTTTATTACTGGTGGTAGGACCTCTTGTGAGTCCGCACGGGTAGGTACCACCGCCCTGCCTATTTCTGCCGTGAAGCAGTAATGCGTTTCGGTTTGAAGGGTAGGGCAGCCGTTGTAACTATACTGAGATCTTAGAACTTATATCTCAAGGTGGGTGGCGCATTTACGTTGTAATTGTCTATGGGCTCCAGTAACCACTTAGCACCAGGTGATTAGAATGTTAAGAATCGTTTTAATTCTAACGGAAGCGGACGGAACGGAACGGTAATTTCCAGTGGCCAAAATTATTTAATTTATGATTAAAGATTATACCCATTCTAGTACAATTTGTTTTTAATTCTGTAGAGCTACCTCGTTTTGTCGTTAAATACGCTACCAACTTAAAATACTGATTACGTTAAATTAAAAAAATGTATATACAAATTATCAGATAAGACAGACGTGAGATGGAAGAGTCTAATCCGCCTTCAATAATGGAAATCTGGTTATTTTTTCAAATCCTTTATACAGCACCGTAACAAAGTTCGTTGCTACTACACTTGCTTTTCAAGACATTTTTTCTCAGTTACTCCAGTGACTCTAAAATACACTCCCTTCCGTGTGCATTTCCTTCCCCAGGTTAGAACTCCGTGAGTTCACCTACTCGCTCGGTTACGCTGGCATAGCTTCTCAAGGCTAGCAGCTTAGGTATGAAAAAAAAAAATGTTTCCTGTAAGTTTTAAAATGAAAAACTGGTATTAAGTGACCCAATATAATCGTCACAGGATTAATAAAACAAATTAAATTTTCTTGAAAGTATAATACTACTGAGGCTTTATTACATATCATTTAAATAGCCGACTTAATTAAGCCAACGCTTAAACCCCTTTCGGTTTAATTTAGGAAACACGGTTCAGTTATAAGAAAATTTATTGAAGCATGACGTCGTACGACAAAATCTATTGAAATAAAAGTGTGTCCAAATACGCTGTAGACCGATTAATTCTCTAAAGAGTGTTCCAAACGATAGGTCAGCAGGGTTCAATTCAGAATTAAATCAATAAACGAAACAAGATTGTCAAATATTCAAAACTTTATACATATTAATAAACATAATGTTGTTGTTGTAACTGGAAGAATTATAGATTTAGTTTTTTTAAGCATCTTTTAAGCGTATTTATTCTTTTATATTTTTCTTGAACCAGAGTCTCAGAATTGAGGAAGGAATTAAAGAAAATTATTCCAACCCATTATACGTTAAACAATATCGTTTTCAAGACACTTTCACGATGTCACTTAATTAAAAGCTAATAATTTAGAAGCTTCAAAATTTATGTTGGGATAACCATTAGCACTCTTCAAAAAATCTAAAATATAATATTTCATTATTTTATTAAAACTATCCTTGATGTAAGAAGACCAAATAGTCGAGCCAAAAAGTTTAATTCACATGAACTTCAACAAACATAACAATGGTTCAGCGACACAATCTTTCTCACAATTCATTATTACAGAAATTAGTTACAAGAATAAAACCAGTGCAGTTGCATTGTCTAACAATTATTTTGAGATTAACTAGCGTTTCCGTAATCGAAGCGAATGGAAATTGAAGGAAGATATATATTAGAACGAAATGTATAATAAATACATCCGGACCCCCTCAGTGACGAGCGCTGGGACTGTTCGAATTACATTATTTAGAATATAGTTTTGTGTAGACTAAATCATCTACTTTTTAATACCCTTTTATTAGCTTCAGACGTATCTATGTTCAGACGTAAGTATGTAACGGAATCTTTGAACATGATTTTGACCGCCTTCAAAACGTCGGATTAACTCGAAATTTGGTATACTTATTAAGGACCGATGACAATTCAATATTTTAAAAAAAATTAAAAATAATATTGAAAAATTGAAATTCAACTAAAAAATAAAAAATTAATAATAGTTTAAAAAAACTAACAAAATACGGTTTCAGAGAAAATCCAACTAATGAATAGAACAAAAAAATTAATAAATTTGAATTAAAAATAGTGTACGAAAAAATAATTTTATTGTAAAAAAAGCGTGGGGTGCATGGTATCAGTAGTGATAAATATTTTATGAACAGATATGAGTAGAAGGGTTATTTTGATAATATCCTGAAAAGTAACTCACGCTTTTTTTACAATAAAATCATTTTTTCTTACACTGTTTTTAATTCAAATTTATTAAAATTTATTTTCTATTTTTTAGTTGGATTTTCTATAAAAACGTATTCATGGGAGAAATATATGGGCGCAAATGCCACTGTTGGCAATAATTAACTTAATAATATATAGTTTAGTTTATTCTATGTTAATATTTATTTATTATTAGCAACAAAACTGTTATTCTACCATATTTAATTATTAGCAGACACTGTTTTGATGTGAAAATGTTCAGAATATGTTTAATGTTTATATTATTGTTTAAAAACACAAATGACTATAAATGATTAAATATGAATAAAGCATAAATATTAATAATAATTTATATTATAATTAACAGTACTAATAATTTAATTAAGTATTGTAATTGTTATGCAATGATGTTGTTGGCGCCATCTATTATTAGGCTGGATAATAACAATGTTAGTTAATATTACTTAAAAGTAATTCATGTAAAATAAATTAAATGTGAGTCATGTAAAATCACTAAAATATGTATTTTGAATATTAAGCTATGTTTTGTGAATTGTTTCGCAGTAATTACATTTGTTTGTATAAAAGAAGTTGTAGTTGCTATAACCAACACAAAATGGCTAATTGTGTAAAAACCACTGAGTAACTCAGGCGTGGCTTTTTGTTGTAAACAAGTAATGTTAAAGTTTTATAGAATTGTATTGTATTTTCATTGTAAAAGAACTTATGTGTGTAAATCCTGGTGTAACGCCGACAAATACGTATGTAACATCTGTACAATTTGCAAATTGACCTCCGCAACGAAGGTGAACAAAAACAATGAGTCCGTGAACCGTGACGAACAAACCCGAAGCCGCTTATTAGAAATGCAATAAAAATGACCCAGTAAATGTGAAGCTGTAATTGAGATTATGCGTCGTGGGACTTTACGACGGAAATAATTTACGGATAGATTGTGCCACCCACAAGCGAGATTACACTGAAGCCATATAAGCTCTTATAAGAGACCGTGTTAAAGTTTCGATGCGCTGGTGGTCGGTGATCGAAAGCCTATGTCTTATGACCGCGATGATGCAGATTTTAATTTGATGTTAGCTTTAAACACACCTACAGCCTAAACTTTCGGATATACAGGGTCTAAGCGTATTTGTACATCCTCGAATACTTGAGACCTTAGAACTTATATCTCAAGGTGGGTGGCGCATTTACACGCTGTGGATGTCTATGAGCTCCAGTAACCACTTAACACCAGGTGGGCTGTGAGCTCGTCCACCCATCTAAGCAATAAAAAAAAAACGCTTTTCCAATACACAAAAACATTATAAAATTCTAAGTCAACGACCGTTGACTCTACAACGTTTGAATAAATCGAGTTGAGTCTTTTTTTTATTGCTTAGATGGGTGGAAGAGCTCACAGCCCAACTGGTGCTAAGTGGTTACTGAAGCCCATAGACATCTAGAACGTAAATGCGCCACCCACCTTGAGATATAAGTTCTAAAGTCTCAAGTATAGTTACAACGGCTGCCCCACCCTTCAAACCGAAACGCATTACTGCTTCACGGCAGAAATAGGTAGGGTGGTGATACCATCCCGCGCGGACTCACAAGAGGTCCTACCACCAATAATTACGCAAATTATAATTTTGCGGGTTTGATTTTTATTACACGATGTTATTCCTATACCGTGGAAGTCGACCGTGAACATTTGCCGAGTACGTATTTCATTAGAAAAATTGGTACCCGCCTGCGGGATTCGAACACCGATGCATCGCTTCAACACGAATGCACCGGACGTCGTATCCTTTAGGCCACAACGACTTACTGTGAAAAACAAAAGTATGTCTAAAGCAGACCGAAAAAATAGTACAATCGATTACAAGACCGTGTTTGTTACGTCAATGCTTTATATCTTTATTCAGATCATTTCACTTTAGAATAAAAATTGAATGTCAGCGTCATAGATAAGATAAATATGTATTATCATTATTTAGTAACACTTGACACATGTTCGTAGAAGACAGCGCACTTGTGGATTTATAAAAAAAGAAAAACAAATTGTTATGTAAAATAATAGTGACAAACAAAAACAAGCTTCAGTAAATATGTCGATTACGATTAAAACAGTTTGAGGTTATGTGACTTCGAGTGTTAATCGTCAGAATGGCTACGCGAATATTGCAATCTATTAGCTTTTTGGTATGTAGCTTTTCTTTTTTTATTGCTTTTGAGCTTACGGCCTTCCTGATGGTGAGTGGTCACCGTCTACGATCGAAGTCATCAATGCTAGGGCAGTGAAACTGCTACCTGCCCCTAAGGACTCTTCACGGAAGTAGGACAAGAAGAAAACACCATGGAGGGAAGTTCATTAAATCTCTAATCATGACATGCAAGCATTTAAATTACAGTCTTACAAAAAATTATGTTAACATATTTTTTTTACTGTTGACGGGTGAACGAGGTCACGTCCCACCTGTTGTTAAGTCACTATCGAAGCCCATATACATAACATCGTAAAACCGCCATGAGGTCTAATTCTCAATTCCATAATCGTTTATCTGAAAGATTAAAGATAAAAGCAACAGAAAATATCACCAGAAAAGTGAATACCATTAAATGGAAATAATTTGCAAAAAAATTGACAAATTTTACGTTATAGTTACGATAGATAAAGCTAAGGGAAAATTTAAATAAATATGATAATAATTATTGGAACATATACAGCAATAAATACTACAAACAGCTAATAAACCTCTATACCTTCTTAGGATATGTTCGGAGCGGGCTTGTTGATGCCGCAACTAGCCAATCATGCGAAACAATTAGGATGCAGTCACATACAAATAGGAACGATGAGTGCTCTGTACTCTGGCTTCCAGCTGATATCCGGACCTGTCGTCGTGAGTTTTTATAGTTTTGCTTCGGTGAATTTTGAAAGACTTAAGTTTCGCCAACCGGAGATAATAATCTACTGGCATAATTTGGAATTGCAAGAGAGAATGCTCTGAGGAATTGTTCGAGATGATACCGACATCTCTTTTTTACCATCGCATCGCCCGCCACCGGAGTAGAGTTCATCCATACTACCTGGAGCCACTGCGGTCATTCACAGTGCGTTTCCAGAGGTGTTTTTTGCCACGTAACGTCCGACTATGGAAAGAGCTCCCCTCCACGATGTTTCCCGATCGCTATGACATGTCCTTCTTCAAACGAGGCTTGTGGAGAGTATTAAGCGATAGGCAGCGGCTTGGCTCTGCCCCTGGCATTGCTGAAGTCCATGGGCGACGGTAACCACTGACCATCAGGTGGGCCGTAATAATTTAATATAATAATAAATAAAAATAAAATAAGGGCTATAAAAAAAAACTTTTTAATATTCGCTTTACCTATACGCTGGTCTCCTAAAGGACTATTCCAGCTACGCACGTATAGATAATATGCAATCGAATGCGTAATTGATAAATATATGATTCATCGTTATCTAATACTCGAAAAATTGCTAAAATGGATTTTACTATATTTATCAGGGCTGTCGATTAGCTAATACTCGAAAAATTGCTAAAATGGATTTTACTATATTTATCAGGGCTGTCGATTAGCTAATACTCGAAAAATTGCTAAAATGAATTTTACTATATTTATCAGGGCTGTCGATTAGCTAATACTCGAAAAATTGCTAAAATGGATTTTACTATTCTTATCAGGGCTGTCGATTAGCACATGCATATTCGTACTTGTTTTTTTAAGCGAATAAATTAAAATATTATATTAAGAATGGTTCAGCGTTTGCACTTATTGCTATTTGAGAATTCAAATTAAATCGCCCGTAATTATAAACTAAATTGATCAATGCAAAACTAGCAAAACCATTTACTCTAATATATTTCGATGTATGTTACTTCAATTCCAGGGAAGTCTCAGTGACACAAAAGGCAGGAAACCAATACTATTGTTATGCCTGTACATCTGTGCATTCGCATATGTGTCGCTCGGGATTACATCCTCAATTACGCTATTTCTATTGTTAAGATCTGTGATAGGTACGTATCATTTCTATGTAATTTACGTAGTATTATATAATAATATTATATACCTTTATGAATTTGTTGATAGCAATCTAACAATTGATTGATGAGTCTAAAGTAATTAAAAAATAATTAACCTGTGTTCTAACGATTAAAATACTAAAATAACCAAAGAAACGACTAACTTTTTTTAGAGATAGGTTTTTTTTTCAATACCCAAATTCATTTTAGGCATGTCCAAACAAACCCAACTATTGACGAACGCTTTAGCGCCAGACTATGAGACAGATGGGACCAAACAATCCATAGTATATGGAAGGATGTCGACAATGACTGGACTTGGAATGTCTGTGGGTCCTATCATTGGAGGACACATAATGGAAGCCTATCCCAATAACGGATTCACTGTAATTTGCTGTGTAGTCAGTGCTATATTCATTTTCAATACATGTGAGTAACACTACCTAGTAGTCAAATTAACAAATAAATTTTAAGTGCCCATTACAGACTAAAAGAACATTGTAACGTGAATTCCACTTCTCACTTGGAGAGATGATGCAAAAGCTCCAGCGAGACAACGAATATCCTCGATATACCAAATAGCAGTAGCAGCCCGTCCGAGGTTGCAATATATTTACTACCACGATTAATCAACACAGGATCTGGGAATCTGTAAATTAGAAATTATATAGCATTAAGTGCGAGGTCGCGGCGTCACATACGTTTTTGATTTTGGCAAACATATAATTTTTACAAAAATCTTATACATATACTGATTAGTACGTTTATTTACAAAATTAGATGTATCTGCTTAAGTACGTAATATCGGTCAATACTAATTAGCGGGAAAATTCAGAGTCAATCATTCAATCAGTCAATTCAAAGAAATATGTATTTAAAATTTGAGCAATATTTGGCTTCATTCCAACTTTTTTTAGTGTAATTGTAAAATATTTATTTTTCAGTGTTGCTCAGAAAACTGCCTGATGTAAAGATTTCGAAATTTGCCAAAAAACAAGTCACCATACCGATAAAACTTTTGGATTCGATTACAAAAACAGCTAAAGAATCCATTGATGAATTTCGCAAAATTGACTGGAGCATCTTCTGGGATTTGTTTTTATTTAAGCTCCTTATAACATGTTGTGTTGGATTGTACTTCAGTAGTTTTAGTTTATTTTTAAAAATATACCATGAGGTGTCTCCAAAAGAATTGGGATATTTAATAGCCTTTCAAGGCGGTATGGGATCTTTATGCACGTATTTCATTGGCCACATCACGAAATTGTACAAACACGATGAAGATTTTTCTCAAAGAATGTTGCATATTTCACTTGTATTATCTTTTACTTTATTGGGTTTATCCATGACTTCCAGTATCGTTATTTTTGTGTTGCTATTAATACCTTTTGCTTTATGTGGATCAATAGGAAGAGTTACCACTTTGGAAATGATTGCTAGTAGAAGTAAAAACACAAATAGAGGAACTATAATCGGTGCCTCAAATAGTATGAAATCTTTATCTGGGGTAATAACCCCATTGCTTGGTGGTTTTATTGGAGAGTATTTAGGTATAGCTTATAATTTCTACTTAGCCTCATTTGTGGCTACCGCTGGAGCAGTAGCTATAAAATATCATAGAACATACGTAACATCGAAAAATAAATCTGAATAATTATTATATATTCCTCTATCATTTGAAAGTTAACCCAATTAAAATTATGAATTCATAATTGCTTTACAGTTTTCTTGTAAGGTAATGCAAGTGGTAATTATATGTGGGGCAGGTGGGGAGTAGTCTCGTGTGTGGCTGGTTCCCACGGTGGGTTCCTTCCGGAGCCGGTGACCCATGACGCTACCGTCTCGGCGCCCACCTCGCGCCTCTCATTGTTCCCTTCAATAGTTCCCTAGACATTTACCTACGAGGTGATGTACGCTGGTCTTATACGCCCCCTCTGTTTATACAAGGTGCTTTGAAATCAGCGATGTGGAAATTAAATTCGTCCAGTTTCGTCATTGCGGTTCGATTGCTTAATACAGGTGTTCTGTTTTCGTTCACAAAATTAACTTTAGCGTTTTTACTGCAGATTTATGTTCATCGTATTTTTATTAATGATAATTCATCTATTTTATTATTTTAATAATGTTACAATGAAATTAGAAACAGACGTTCCTGTTTATACATTTGTGTAGGCTAATCTACACAAGAAGTGATTTGGATCTGGTATTATGTGTTTATGTTTTTAAAATTTATTAGTTGAAATATGGAATGAGGTGATAATTTTAAAGCAGGTCTGACATCTCAGATATTTGTACTTAAATAAATTAGTAAGCGATTATCTACATTGTCAGTATTATTGTTTCACGGGTGCATGCCCTGACTTTTAGTTTTAGAGAATTCCCTATTCTTCAGTGCATAATGCTTATGTTATAATCACCATAACGATCTCGGCGTAAATGTTATATATGGTAAATTATATTTTTGATTTAATAGATGAAAATGAACGAAGACTTGATATATTGCTTCCTCTGTATTTTTGTGTAGTGGGAAAATCATCGTATGCGGCTGGTTTATTAACAACAGATGCGCCTCCTCGACTTACATCACTTCTCCTTTATCATACACCTTTAGTAGTAATTTCTTCACCTTATGATTTTTTTTTTTTTTTTTTTATTGCTTAGATGGGTGGACGAGCTCACAGCCCACCTGATGTTAAGTGGTTACTGGAGCCCATAGACATCCACAACGTAAATGCGCCACCCACCTTGAGATACAAGTTCTAAGGTCTCAAGTATAGTAACGACAGTAGACAGCGACATGGTTCCATCATTGGCAATGCTAATGTCCATGAGCGACGCTGAACCCTCATCAGGTCGGTTGTACGCAATAAAAAATACTTCCCACTATTTCTTATCCTAATTTGACAATGCAAGGCCATCTTTTCCAAAGATGGATTGACGTCAGGCAGACGGCCACTCGTAAAAGTGTCAGCCGCATCAAAATACAACACTGCTACATGTCATACTGAATAACTCGGATTTATTTATTTATTTATTTAATAAACAATGTTTCAACAGCATTTAACTAGACACAGGGTACAGAGGATGTTTTCCCAAACATGAGCCAATTAAAGAAACACATTATGTTTCCAAAAAATTTTAACATAATTAATGAACACAGGTAGTTCAACTAAGGTAAGACAGTTAAATAGGTAGATTAACTTTGTCGAATGATAACTTGCAGAATAAGTTTGAATCTGATTGTGTTGTGTCGATGTGTGTAAGTGCGTGTGAGTGTAATAAAGTGGTTGGTNTGAGCCAATTAAAGAAACACATTATGTTTCCAAAAAATTTTAACATAATTAATGAACACAGGTAGTTCAACTAAGGTAAGACAGTTAAATAGGTAGATTAACTTTGTCGAATGATAACTTGCAGAATAAGTTTGAATCTGATTGTGTTGTGTCGATGTGTGTAAGTGCGTGTGAGTGTAATAAAGTGGTTGGTTTACATGGACGCTCGATTGTGGGTCAAAACAAAATGATTGAACTTCTTTCAGAGCACAAAATAAAAGAAAGCTTATTTTTATATTTTAATGGGGATTAGAGCACATTTATTTTTTTCAATTTATGGGAACTAGAAAGAATAGAATTTGAATGAATCAGTTATTGACCCCAAGGCTGTAGAGATGCTTACATTGCCGGTTAGAGGATTTGTTAAAATATAATTATTATTGAATATTTTTATCCATACCTGCTCCTGTCTCGTCTATTTTTGATAGGCAACACAAATTAAAAATCACTATTCGAGAGAATTGAATTTGAAATGGAATTTGGATTTTTTATTAATTTACACATAGTTTCAATCACAAATTGATTTTCTCAACGATTTGTCGAATAAAGCTTAAAACTACTGTCCAGTATTTACCGATTTAAATTTCAAAATATATTAGTCTCAAAGAAACGAAATGTTCCCAGCCATAAAGGTTCTATAAATAAATGTGTTTTAATAATTTTTGTCATGTCACACATGTCCGTACTTGGTCATTTTATATTCAGCGAAGGAGCTCGCATCGCACTCATATGAATGCATGACGTGTCTCAAATTGAAATTGGAACGGGATTTTTATTTTCAAATGATACCACCAGAGAAATAATAAAATTAAGTGTAAAATTACTATTTTGTTTTTTTTTCTACGTTGTCGAGAATAACATTATGTGTAATAATAAAAGGAAAGGTAGATGGCAAACGTCCCAGAGGACGCAGTCCCACAAGATGGTCGGACCAAATACGATCTTCTCTAAGCATCAATTTCCACAATGCCCTTCATGAAGCAAAGGATCGCAGCAGATGGAGGGAAATCGTACGGGAGAAACTGATGCAACGGGGGAGTCTCGACCCTCAGTAATGAGGAAAACGACGCGAGGAGGAGGTAATAATAAAGAGTTTGAGAAAATGTTTATGATTTTTTTATTTCAAACATTAACGGAATTATGTGTGTGGGTGTTTTTTATAGCCTTTAGAGCTTCGATCATGATCGAAGCTTTAGACAGATGAGCATATGGCCAATCTGATGGTGAGTGGTTGCCGTCCGTTTGAAACAGTATAAGTGATAGCCCTCATGAGACACTGTACATGAACGCAGCGGTTACATATACTATGGATGAATTCTGCTCCTGTGGCGACAGGTGCGATGGTAAAGGAGAGATCATCTCGAACAATTCCTCATGGCACTTACAATTTAGACATGCGCAAAAAGCGAAGAACTTTCCGGGTGGGTAGCTGTTTATAAAATTCAATATATTTACTAGTTCATTGTTTCGACATCATCACATATAAAAAAAACATTAACTTGTTTTAATGTCTCAAACATTATCTAAAAGTTTTTCATTAATACATTTTTAATGATAAAACAAAGCAATCAACAATAAAACAACTCGATTTAACTTAAACTTAACTTATATCGTAATAAAAAATCAGATATGTCTAATTTTAAGTTCGATTTGCTAATTTAATACACGTATGTTAAGTAAAATAATATTCAATCCATCTAGCCACCATTAATAACAGAACATCAATATATTTCTATAAGAAAAAATCTAGTATAAAGATAATAGAATATTTTAAATACGTACGTACGTTTGACACATACAAAATGAGACAGAATATTAAATATATATATTAAACGAAGAATTGCTGCAAAATAATAAACAATAAATTATGGAAAACAATGAAATTCTGTTCTACATAAGGAGTTTTCTAAAATATGCACTTAAGTATTAAGTATTTAATTATTTTTATTATTATATATAAATATTTTTTAATTCATGCCTCTCAAATTTATTCATTTAATCCATTTAATGACTTATCTATAAAAGCAGGGGGCGCCTTTCGGACGCAGGTAAATTCAAGCATGACTGGAATACTCGACGTATAGTGAAATTACTTGTGTACACACACGTGCACCTGCTCAAAGGGAATTGTTTGGTTACCTGCACTGACAGGGCTGCCAGGATAAGTTTTTGTATTTTTAAATTGCACTCGATCGATGGCTCAGTTTATCGCTCATCTGAGATTAAGTATATTTTTTTTTTCTTTTTTTTTCCTACCTATGTTGATAGCCTTGAGAGGCTATTTCAGCTTCTCCTTAACGTGTGGGTGAGCTCACGGAGCTCAAACCGGGAGTGTTGGTAACACTGGTCCTTACAAGTGCAGTGCTTCGCAGAATTTACCACCGGATCGGAAACGCGACCCACTGAGAAGATCCGACGAGAAACTCAGTGGGCTGTGTATATGGATTAATTCACTCGTCGAGCCCTGCGGTGCTTGTGGTAATAAAAAGCACCGTTAATGGATCAGGAGGATCCGTAATGACGTGATTTAAGTATACACGGAAGCTAACTGGCTTTACAATGTAAATAGCGTTGCTCGCTGTGTGACACAATATTAGTGAAATTAGATATTATAGGCATTTATAAAAGGCCTGTTGTAAGTCCGCAGCACAGCTACAATCACCATTTCTGTCACAAAGCAGCAAGCTAGACTTCAATGTGCTTGCGAGTTTTTTAACGTTCTCGATAGCGTAAAAGTTAACTCAAATTTGTTTGCAGTTGGAACGTTTGCCTACGTTTGCCGCTAGGGGTACTGTTCCGACTGCATATAAATTTGAGTTATCTTTTACGCTATCGAAAACGGTAAAATACTCGTACTAAGCACACAAGTCTTGAGATGGTTGGTGGCATTCACGTGAAGTCTAACGGCTCCGATCAGCATTTAACACCAGCTGTTGAGCTCGATCGCCCGCCCATTATATTTTTTAAAAAATACATTGAAATATCATTATTTGGAATATGTTAAAATTATTATATTCTGTAATGTCTTGATAGCCCTAACTATAACACGGTGTCACGCCATACCCAGAACTGTTGATATAACTACTGTTTTTGTCTTTCACTGTGTAAACGCTAGAAAGGGATAGCAGTATAGAGTTCTGAGTTCATTTCGATAGGTACATCCATAACTACAGAATTGACGAGTGTAAGAAGAAATATACATAATAGCAAGACCCACATTCTTAATACATTAACACTTTATAGTAAGTTTAAAATTAAATTTTAGTAATATTTTATGAGTTAGCGACACATAAGCCAAGTATTCCGTGTGGAGCACAGATCATAGAAACACAGTTTATTTCTATGATCTGTGGTGTGGAGCCTCTAAACACGAAATCTGTAGGTATTACCGCCCGTTTCGAGACATAACATCGTTCGATTCAAGCTAAATTAACGATAACAAACAAGGGCATTACCCTTTTCACACCGAAACACGTGGTTTCTTTTTTCTTTTGCGACAGAAATCCGCAAGTTTTTTTTTTTTCAAGATACCAAAGTAGAACATCGAATAAAATGATATTCACGTGGCAAATCAATAATTATAATCAATCACAGTCTATGTCATTTAAGTTTTTAGTAAGAAATGAAATTAGAAAACTGCGCTAACAAAATACTTTGAAGGTATAATTTGCGTATTCGATTGAATACGGAAGTACTTTCAAAACGAATTTTGTACAGATCAAAATCGGTTTATTGATTTGACCTTGGTTTTCTAAATTACAA